ACAAAAATATATCGATATTCGTATCAAATTAACTATTTAAAATTCATCATTTTTTGTATAATTTTTTAATTTAATTTTTTATTATAATTTAATTTTTTATTATAATTTAATTTAAGTTTAATAAGAAAGTAATTTATTTTTAGTTTAATAATATAATATTTATAAAGATAATAATTAAAGATTATGTTAGAACTCAATGATTATTCTAATTATATTTTAGACTTTATATATTTAAAATGAGATGTTTATTCTGTATTTGATTATGTTTATCTATAGTTAGTTGCATGAATTCATATATGAAGCTTTAATAAGTTGTACTTACGCACAATCTACTTATAATCTTGAGTTTTAAGTAACATGCATTAATAAACAGTAATTTATGCACAAAAAATGATTTTTAAAAGTTTTTGTTAAATACTTTATAATATAGTATAGATAAATATAAAATATACAATTTTATTTTAATATGATAGCAATAATAATTTTGTAATGGTTTGATTAAAGTCATAGAGTTGCAACTCTTTTGAGGTTAACCTTTTGGTTCTTAACTCCGAAAGTTATACTATAATTGTTTTTAAGTAGAGTGTCGAAATATCTAAAACAACAATTCAACTTCAACAACTACTTTATTTTAATAATTATATCATTAACTATATTATTAAAATATTTAATATATTAAAATAAATAAATAAATCTGAACACTTAATATTACTATCTTCTATTGGTGGGGAAAAATTAAATATTAAATCTATTGGTGATAATTCTCCAAACTTGAAGATTTATATTCTCACCATTCTAATATATATTTTAACATACGTTATAACATAACTCTAGAAGCAAAAATATATTATAAATCTTCAAAATATTTATTTTAATATAATTGTTGAACATGCTATTAAACCAACCAGATCTTTATGTATTTAATTTGCTTATCAAATAAGTACACTTACCAAGCTTTCAATAATCCATACTACTACTACAACCATGAACCATTCAAGAATTGCAGATTCACATGGAATAAAGTCAAAGTTCCATCTCCATGGAATAAACTTTACCATCTATTAATCAAATGAATATAACAATCGCCTTTTATAACAACTCATTGATTTCAACCCAAAAATCGAAATGAAAACAAACCAAAACTTAGATCCACATAACAAAACACCGAGGATCCGATTATCATCAAAAGATGAAAAAAAAGAGACACACAAAATCGTATAGAAAAAGCAAGTATACCACCACATCCGATGGCCAGGAAAAAGCATCCATCTTGATGGGGTTTAGTTATTACCTTCTTATTTGCATGCTACAAACACCTGCTCTCAATTTTGGCTCACGAAGCCTTCTTAGTTTACACCAGAAATTTCTTCAAATCTCATGGTGTTCTTAGCCTCCACCTATCTACCTTACCTTCACCCGGCATATGGCCTTCTGTAAATAGTTCCCATCACTTTCCATCTTAAATTGGATCAAAGATTTCAGCCGATTCAAGTCTCCACTGCAAAGTTTGTGGTCAGGAATAAGCGAATATAAAATGGTTTATGGTTCATGTTGGACGTGTCGTTATTAGGGGGAGTGTCATTTGGATTGCAGATAGGCAAGAGATCTCCAAGGAGGAATCGACATGGAGTTCTGTTTGAGGGGAGATTTGGCAGCTTCCTCCGTTACTTGAAGCAATTGTCAGTGATCCCACATACACAACAGGACGCGATTTCATGATCCTATTTTGTAGGAAGGAACGACTCTAGCTATCTCAAAGTACTTTGTAGTACTGCATATTAACATTCAAACATAAGCATTCCAACTCATCAACAATATAAATTCTACATCTCATTAATAATCATTGCAAAATATCAATTTGGTCGACAAGTTTCCTAAATTCCTAAATGTTGGATATGTTTGCTTATCTGCCAAATTCAACTAATATTTAAGTAAATCCAATGGATGCATTTAACAAACATCAGTTAGTAAAGAAATCTTATAAAATCTAATTAAGATATTGTATTAATAAATCTTAGACAAATGGACGCTTCATTTGACAACAAACACATTTTTGTTTTCTATTGATATTCTCTTTTGTAAATGTTTCTATAATACCATGTGTTACTGTTTTTTATGATTTAAAAATATTTAAAACAATGATCGTAAAGAAAAAACTGGGTATAAACATTTTCATGAATTGCATTTTGATCCGTCTTTTATGAATTCTAAGGCCTTCTTTATGTTAAAAAAAATGTAAGCGTTTATCAGCATCACTGGTATTTACGTCCATTAAAACCTTCAGCCTTCATACTATTAATAAAGTACATTGAAAAGATGCAATGTAAATAAAATTATGATTTTTATACTTAAAAATAAAATTAAAATACATTTTACAACATTAGCTTCATTTAGAAAAATAAGATAAAACAAACAATATTTGGATTACTTTAGACATAAGTATAAGTTCAAACCAAATACACTCAGTAATAATAAATAAAACATATTGGAAACCACAACTTATAAAACTAAAATTAAAATCCAAACCAAACAAACCTTTTTTTGTTTTCTTTTATTGAACCGTAGGTTTTCGGATCAGTTTATAAACACTGATTAATCTCTTGGACGACCATGAATAACCATGAGTTATCATAGGTGAACCTCCAACGCCTAAATTCAAACTCAGAGAATATGAGATTTCTACTAGAACTTCCCCAGTATTACACCATAAGTGGTTAACCAAAAACACACTTAGAGGTTAGAGCATCTCCAATACCTATGTTATTTTAGAAGTTTTTAAGATTTGAAAAAAAACAACCACCTAACAACTATGTTAAATTATCATCTAAGACAAAGAAAAGAAAAGGAGAAAATATACGTTTATAACATGAAAATTTACACGAATAGAAATTTTGTAAAGTGGTTTCCTGAAATAGCCATAATTTACACACGGACGAAAAATAATTTTTTCTACGTAAAGTTTTGTTTTTTTTATACATTTCCAAATTTTAAAAAAATAAAATTTTAAAAACTTTACAAAAAAATTTATCGCAGAAACAATGTTTTTTCCGTAAACTTCTTTTTTGTAAAGTAATTCTTTCAATTGTTCAATTTTTTTATATCTGGATTTTAGAAATAATAATTTTTTTTTGTAAAAAAAAATATATTTTTCTTCATTTTAACCTTTTTTCTTAGTTTCCATGTTAAAAGTTTCTATATATTCTACAATTTTTATTTTTATTATTATTTTTTTTACCTTTTTTTTTTAATTTCCATGTTAAAATTTCTACATAGTTTACAAATTTTCATTATTTTTTTTTTCATTTCAAGATTTAAAAAAAAAAAATTGTAACTAAAATTAGAAATTTACATTAAACCCTTTTCTTATGTATTTCTATTTTCCAGATTTGATGAAAAAATAAAAGATTATTTAAAAATAAAGTTTACACACAAAAGTTTAAATGTAATTGTTTCTGCTTAAACTTTTTTTGTCAAGTAATTTTTTTATTTTCTTTATTTTTAATTTCCATGTTTAAAAAATATAAGCTTTATATATATTTTACAAATTTTCATATTTCTACGTAAACCTTTTGTAAAGTTTTTAAAATCTTATATTTTTAAATCTATAAATATATATAAAAAAATTAATAAAGTTTGCAATTTTTAAATTTTTTAAGTAAAAAAAAGCCTTTACATAGAAAAATTCCTTTTACGTGAAGTCCATACCTGAGCTATGGCTATTTAGAAAACCCACTTAAAAAAGTGAGAAAATGTTTGTTTTGCATAATGATTTTTTGAAAAAATGGAATATGTTATAGAAATTGAAATGAAATGTTATCATATTTGACCAAGTGTCTGGTTAATATGAATGGAATGTAATCTGTATAATAAACTGGAATCTGCCTGATTAGCTTGCAACTAAATTGGAATTGAATGATGAAAAAAAAGACAAAAACACCATTTCTTTGAAGCATTAATTCATATACAAAAATATGTCAAATTAGTAATATTTGAAGCAGTAATATGATGTAAAAACATTAACAAAATCGAAGCAGAAAATGGAACAAAAATCGGAAGCAGAAATCGGAGCAAAAAGCGTAAGCAGAAATCGAAACAAAAATTGTAAGCATAAATAAAAGTAGAAGTCGTAATAAGAGATCGAAGTATATAAATTGTAAGCAGAAACCAGAAGCAAAAACCGGAAGTAGAAACCGGAACATAAATTGGAAGCAGAGATCGAAGTATAAATCGTAAGCAAAGATCTATTCATAAATTGTAAGCAAAAATCGTAAGTCGAAATATGAAGTCGTAACAAAAGGCGAAGCAAAAATAAAAAACAATAACAAAATCAAAGCAAAAAACAGAAATCATACGTTGGAGATAACAGAAATCGAAGCATAAATCGTGCCTCCACTTTTTGATCGATGAAGAAAATGAAACAATCGTTCAAAATGAGAGAAACCAGTGGCTCGATAGATTGGAAACAATAGATGAGAATGGAAAAAGTGGAATGAGGGCAATCTTGTTATTTATAAAATTTCGGAAGGAATAGATTTCAATTTCATCTCTTTTATGAATGAATGATGAAATCGTTTAACGAGAGAGTGTTTGGAACTGACAACTAAACGTTAAAATAAAATTAACCATTCCAATTCTATCAGATTCTGACAAACCAAATGCTCCCTAAAACCCATTTCTAAAATAAGTATTTGTGTAAATTTTCTATGTAACAACACATCTGCTGCTGCAAAGATAATTAAGAAGAAGAGAAAAAGAATAAACAGAAAAGGAGAAGGGATTTGGGACCAAAAAGAACCTAAATACTTGGAAATCAAAAACCCTAGGTACAGCGATCGCCACGTGCGTGGTTCTCCAATTGGCGATCTCATCTCATGTAGTTAAACTACACTTTCACCATCATTTATTCATAGGAGCGCAGCAGCGGTCATCTACCCCAACTACACAGCCTTTATAATCCATCAAATTACACTTGCAAGCTTGCCTCATCCATGACTGATAGCGTGGGCCCTCATTAGTTTCCTTGCCCATAAATCGCCCCAACCATCACTACATTTCATTAATCCCATTTTCCTAGATCTCAAATTTTTGCACTTCCCGTTGTTTTCTCCGCTTTCTCTCGATTGGGCTTCTCCCCTACTAGTTACTTGTTTCTAATCTAATCGCCGGAAACATGAAGGTGACCGTTACTACTCGGAGCGGTAGAGAGTTAATCAACGGTGGTCTTGTTCTTGATAGCTCTGTGAGTTCAATTTCTATATGTTTGTGTGATTTTATAATATTTTTGGGGTTTTTAGGTTGTGACTGGTTTTGGGGTTTTGCCAGGCTACTGTGGCTGATTTGCAGGAAGCAATTCATCAACGGCGTAAGTTTTTCCTCATTCAATCGTCGTTTAAATATAAATTATAGTATCGGATTCGGCTCCATTTAATTACTCCACCCGTTTCAAAAACAGGGATACACTTTGGCCTTCATGTCAACTGCAACCTTACAACTTCAAATTGATACAGATTTCGAGTGCTAATTAGTGATTACAACGTATTTTATACTTATTTGCTCCCAGAAAACTGCATTTTGATTAGCAACTCGCAAGTTCAATCTATCAAATTTAAAATCGACCCAGACACTATTAATTCATACTAAAAAAAGATTAATTTGATAGTATTGTAGTAATAATCTTCTTTGAAATCGGCATTCTTGGTTTCTCTCTGTTCTAAAGAAATGATAGCCACCTAGCTAGGAAGCAGGGTTGCTTCTAACCTTTGCTGAATCTCCAATAGGAATTGTGATGTATGTATAATTTCACCAGAAGGGGTTGACTTTTGCACCCCCATGTTCATTATTTTCAAACTTGTAAGAGAGAAGACTTGGTTCTTGAAGCTATTTTAGTGGTATTATGAGTCAAGGGTAAGTTTAGACGCACTACATACTTTCATAACTGATTCAGTTGATCTCTTTTTAAATTATGAGATTTGATGCAAGAGCATCATTATATGATTATGGCCACATGCACATTAGTTAATAGGTTCCGCTGTATTCAACTGTAGTTGAATGAATGAATCTGAAGTGGCATCCTTTTGGGGTTGAATGTTTGTAGGAGACGACAATCAATCACCTAGACTTCAAAATAAGATAAACCATTACCATTTCGTGACACTACTGGTTCTCTTGAACTCTGTGTATCATATTCTTTTGCCTGTGTTTCTTTTTATTGGAAGGACACAAAAGAAAATACTACTGTCCCTAGTTTGTTTTCAGCAAACATTAGCTTTCTTTTATGACATGAATATTAAAAGTAATCATCTTCATGCATTCATAAATCAAGTCTTGGTGCTCCATTCTGGTGTTAAAGCTGTATAGACAATGTTTCTTGGTGAGGCACCTTCAGTCAATAAAATGTCTATTGAATCAACTTATTTGGGCTTCTCCCCTTAAAGTCAATGTGTATTGTGCAAGCATGATTGCTTTCTCGGGTAGCCAAGGAGCTATTTCTATTACCAAATGTGTATGCTTTACATTAATGTGATTATTTTGTATATTTGTTTCATTCTATGGTTGTATGACATTAGGACAATGATTTGGTATGTGTTGAGAATATATCTATTGAATGACTTCTATATGATTAAATCCGTCTTTCTTTTTTGCTTACTATGTAGTGTTTGTTGACCCACATGCTTCTAATTTTAACAGTGAAGAAGTATTATCCATCCAGACAGCGCCTGACCCTCCCCCTCCAACCAGGGTCAAAGGCGAAACCTGTTGTCCTCCAATCCAAGAAAAGTCTCAAAGAGTACACTAGTGGAAGTTCCGACAACATTACTGTAGTGTTTAAGGACTTGGGTGCACAAGTTTCGTACCGTACACTCTTCTTTTTTGAGTATTTGGGCCCACTGATCCTCTATCCTGTCTTCTATTACTTCCCAGTGTACCAGTATTTTGGTTACAAAGACGAACGTGTTATCCGTCCAGTTCAGACATACGCAATGTACTACTGGTGTTTTCACTATTTCAAACGTATCATGGAGACCTTCTTTGTGCACCGATTCAGTCATGCAACCTCACCTCTTTCAAATGTCTTTCGAAACTGTGCCTATTACTGGAGTTTTGGCTGTTATATCGCTTATTACGTTAATCACCCTCTTTACACACCCGTAAGTGATCTCCAGATAAAGATTGGATTAGGAATTGGGTTGATCATGCAACTTGCAAACTTGTATTGCCACATCATACTGAGAAATCTTCGCAGCCCCAGTGGGAACGGAGGATACCAAATTCCACAAGGGTTTTTGTTCAATATTGTGACTTGTGCAAATTACACAACTGAGATTTATCAGTGGGTGGGCTTCAACATAGCAACACAGACCGTTGCAGGTTATATATTTCTCGTGGTTGCTGCCTTCATCATGACTAATTGGGCCCTGGCTAAGCATCGTCGTCTCAGGAGGGTAATTTTCTTTACCTTTTTACTTGATGAATTAACAATTTCTGCTCTTCTTGCTGATTCTTGTTCTGATACCATCTTGTCCTCTGTTGGCAGCTATTTGATGGGAAGGAAGGAAGACCCAAGTATCCTCGCCGATGGGTCATATTGCCCCCATTCCTGTAAGCGACTACAATTATGGGTTGTGTCTTATTTCCCTTGGTTCTGGATCATCAGATAGATTTGGTCGTATCATGAGTTCGTTCTAGTCAACATGTTCCTAAAATGATCAGATGTTTTACTTGTTTAGAACATTAGTTTCTTGTTGGGTTGTGAATCATACTGCTTCTATGATTAATTTTTCTAGGTCTAAGCTGTTTTACCATGTGTACTTGCCACAGCTCTATCAGATGGGCTTTTGAATTTACCTGATTTGTGTTAATTTGAGTCTTTCTTCTGTGGAATCTGGATTTTTCCCCCCAAATTGGCATAATCTTGAGAAGGTGTTTCTTGCAGTTTAAATGATCCCTGTCCCAACTGAGATCCTATTATTGGGTTTTATTTTTTGGTTTCTTGGAAAATTAATAAATATTAACCATTGAGGTATTATTTTTCCTCCTTACTGCTTACCAATTTGAGTCCTTTCGATATTACTAAAGGTTTGCTCGACCATTAAGTTTAGGTTATATAAGATCAGTCGAGGCGTGTACAAACTAGGCTAAACATGTATGGTTATAAGAAAAAAATATCGAGCAATGCCTACATGGTCACTCGTCTAACAAAATGATTCTTATGTCAAAAATCACATGCGTTTTATTTAATTACCAAACACGATGTCGATTTTACGATAAATTTATGAATTTGGTCAAAAGGGAAGATATATGTTGTGTGCAGGAGATCCATTCAACTCAATGTGGGATTTATCTTTTATCTTTTTTTGACACGAAGAATGTGACTATAAATAGAAGATATTGTTATTGTATGTCTTTTATATATGAAACATATTTATGTTACAATGTTACATATAATATATCTTATAGACTTGAGATCATACTGTTTTCGTGAGATCACATGAATAACATTAAACATTCAATTGTGAAAGATAAACATTTACAGTGTTTTTACTATAAATATTTGATGTCTTCTATGCTTTCACAATATTTACTACTCAATAAATAATTGGTTCTATGAGAACCCAATCCAATGTATTGTTTCATACATATATATACTTTGGATCATGTGAGACCAATGGTTTTTCGTAAGACCGGTAAGATCAATTCTCAACTCTTGAATTAAATCTACAATTAGAACATTCATAATCACAAAATTGTCACGAGACTTCTCAATAATCACAAAATTATCACCGTGCAACTTTAGACCATTAGATTATTAGCTTATAAAGTTGATCAATAAACATAAATTGGTCTTATGGGTTTCACGAAAAACCTTTGGTCTCACGTGAATCCAATCTTATATGTATGTATATATATAGGGGACTATTCAAGGGAGAACTGAGTTGTTTGTGGTAACTGTGAGAACCAATATTAACCACAAATCAATAGATAAATTAGGAAATTTATAAATTTGGTAATTTTAAATTAAAATTTTAATGCAAGGATATTT